GCAACTTGCAGCAAGTGACTATCACGGCACAGAGCTGGCAGGACAATAGGGGGTCCAATAGGAGAATCTCATCTGGCTGTAGGAAGCTTTGTGCTCACTGCAGGGCAGCAGCCCGCAAGGCTGGGATATAGGCAAAGATGTGGAACTGCGCCAAGGGGAAGGTGAGAGCTGCCCCAGAGTGCTGGGTGATGCAGAAGGAGCTGGCCCAGCTCCCAAACACAGCATGCTGTTACCTCTCTCTCCCTCTGCTTCGCCTCCTGAAGCTGCTGCACCAAGTCCCTCACAAGCTTCTTCTCTTGCCGCTCCTTCAGCTTTCGCTCCCACGAAGTGCGAAGAGGTTTGTCCTGCACCATGAGCGAGAACCTGGGTGGGAAGGTGGGGCTGTGACTGGGAGAGGCAATCCTCCCGGCCCTCGCAAGACTTCCTGGAGCTGGGACCCCTGCAAGTCCTGTCACAGCTCCCCTTCCTCTCACCTCCAGCTCAGGGCTCCCAATAGCACCTCGGCCACCCCCAAAGCCCTCACATCGCTCAGGAACCACAGCCTGAGCCCTCAGGGGGAGCTCCCCCACTGCAGCCCTATACCCCTCTCTATAACCCCGTACCCCTCGGCCCTCACCGACACCGGACCACCGCACAGAATCCTCCCACGGCCTGGAAGCCCTCCTCCTCATTCCCACCTCTTCCTGCCCGGGTCCTTCCACACCCGCCCCGATTTGGGCCTGCCCCGGGGGATGGCCGGCACCGCCGCCTCTTTCCGCTTCTTGGCGGCCTTGCGGCGGGCTGGAACCTGGGAAACTTCAGAGACCGGACCCACGGCTGAGATCTGGGCGAGATCGGAGACGGACACAGAGACCGAGACTGAGCCCTCCCTGCTGGGCCCCTCGGAGCCCGGAGCCGCTGCTGTACTGCACCCCTCCATCCTCCACGCGGCGCCTTTCTCCAGGCGCCGGGAGATGACATCACAACGCGCTGCGCACATGCTCAGTTCCCACTTACATCCGCCTCCACAGCCGCCATGTTGGTGTCGGGCAGCGCCCCAGGCCTGGTGGGGGCCGCCATATTGCAGCCGACGTGCTGCCCGAACTGCAGAGAAACGCGAAGGCTTGGCTGGGGGGGAGGCAGTTTATTGGGATTTTTTGGTTCGTTTTTTAGGATTTTTTAGGAGTGCGTGGGGCTGCTGCTTAGGGCTGGGTGCGGTCCGGCTGTGGGGAGCAGCAGGGATGATGTGGGCTTCACTACAGCACCTGGAGAGGGAGAAGAAGGAACTGTAGGGCCAGCGTCAGGGCCCGCTGAGGAGGAAGGCAGTAGAGCAGAGCCCCGTACCATGCGTGTGTAACTGTACTGCTTGATGGCAGTGCAGCCAAAGGCCAGGGCCGCCACAGCTGTGCAGAACTCCAGCAGGCCGAAGAGGACGAGGATGGAGTCGAAGCCGTTACTCAGGGCCTGATGGCAGGAAGGCAGTTAGCATCCTGCTGCCCCACAGCATCCGCTGCGCACGGCCACGGGCAGTACCTTGGTCTCGGCGCTGAAGCACCATTCCTGCCTCACCAGGAGCGGCATGCCGGCGCTGCTGCTGCAGCCGGGGATGCTGTGGGTGATGGCCACTGTGTGTATGAGCATGGCCACCAGCGTGCTGAGGATGACGGCGGCATTGGCCACGCAACACACTTTCACCTGCGTGGTTCACATCAGGAAGGGTCACCCTACAGGGATGTGTCTCCCATCCAACCCTCTTAGCGCATCATGGAGGCTGTGTGCAGCAGCGACACAAAGCCCTTACCAGCAGGATGTTCTCTCTTTTCTCACTTTCCACCAGGAGAGAGCCTGAAACCAGGAGCTGCTTGGAAAACACAGGAGGAAGAGAGGCACCAGCTGGGCACAGCTTCCCATCACCCATCCCAGAGCCCCTCCAGTGTTCAGGTCTGCCCTCACCGACTCTCCAGCCACAGAAAGAGTAGTGGATATGAGGTATACGAGGAGCCCCCCATGACAAGGGGATCCAGCCCCATATCTCTGGGCAGTAAGAGGTTGAAGCCCAAGCGTGCCCTTGCATACCAGAACCCCAAGCCAAAAGAAGACTCCGCTGGCCACAGGAAGGGAGAGGACACTGTTGTTCTCTGCACAAGTCAGGATGACACCAAAGCACAAGTGGATGATGCCAGTGACGATGTGAATGGTCTGGGAAAGGACAGAAGAGAGGGGGTCCCCTGTGTGCTGACAAGGATTAGCATTGCCATTACGTGCGTCCCACCCCGATCCCAGCATCAGCAGCACGATGCCAAGGAGATGTGCCCTACCACGCCGCAGACTCACCCCCAGCACTTTGGGCTGTGCTCTCCTGAAGCCGCTGACTTGGAAAGAAGACACGGTGGGCTGGATGGAGCCGGAGGCCAGCTGGGCTGCCCGTGGGTCTGTGGCCGGGATGACCTCTGTGATGATCCGCACGCCGCCAGATTCTGTCACCGTGGTTGCCATTACCTGCAGAGGCCCGGGGATGGGGGTGGGCCTGTGCTTAGTCGGTGTGTGGAGTGCTGTCAGCCTGATGGGGACATCTCACACCCCATCCTGCGCCCCATGCACCATCCTGCACCCTGTACCTCACTTAGCCTGGCTTGTGCTGCTGCTCCTGGTCCCTTGGGAAATTTAGGTGGACTACAAGGGCTGCAGTGCTGCTGCCCTTTGATCCGCAGAGGAAGTTTGTTTGCGGAAGTCCTGTCAGGCCCCTCTTGCTCAATGAGGCAGCTTTGCCAACAGAAGGAAGAGAGGCTGCAAAAATAAGTGAATCTGCCTTGAGTGCCCGCAGTGAGCGTCAGTGATCAGAGGAAGAGACCGCTGGTCTGGCTGGTGCTGTTCTTACAGGACAAATGGGAGTGAAATGACACACAGCCTAAGCCCTGTCAGTCCTAGGGAACCTCATTTGCTACTTTTCTGTGTCTCTCTGCCTCCCAAGCTCCCTATGCCTGTTCCCGCTGATGGCAGTCCACCCACAATCACGAGCTGGGAGGCTCGCTCCTCTGCTGAAAGGAAGGGGGGTGCAATCGTTTCCGATAGGAAATGAGAGCTCAGACTGGGAACGGAGCCACAGCACATGGTGAGAGCTCCCGAAGAGCACCCAAGGGGCCCCTTCCTCCTTCCTCAGGCCACCGTGCTCTGGCTTTGCCAGAAGAACAGCCGCTTCCTCCCCGCGTAGAAGAACAGCCAGGACGGTGGGGATTCTGACCCAGGAAATCGGTGTCCCCTGTGACAGGGGCAGACACGGGGTTGCATCCCAAAAGTAGCTTTTGGAAGCACCTCTTGCTTTGCTTTGGCCCTAGAGCTGGGACACCTGCTCTGGCCCCACTGCGAGCCCATGGGGGCCACCTCTTGCCATCCCCACGTGCATGGGGGACCAACAACTTCTCCGCTTTATTTCACAGAGAGCTTGGGACAAGGCTGCTTTGTCACACATCCCCGCAATGCATTGTTTTCTGCTAGGTGTGTTTCTGAAGGGGTGATGACCACAGATCAGAATGCAGGATGGAGGGTGGCTTCTGTGTGGAAATGAGCCTAGAAAGTGTCCCCATGGCAGTATCCTTCTGGGGAAGACACCTGGGGTCTGGAGAAGGGGCAGTTCCCCACAGCAGGCTGGGTTATGTCTCATCTAGGGAGGCAGCTTTCCAGAAAGAGCTGGGAGGTGGAAGAGTTCTGCCCATCAGCTACGCTCCTGGTGGCTATTGGTGCTTGGTTACCCAGGAATGCTCCAGCACCTGTGGAAATGCCCAGATCCCCTATTTATCCTTTGTACACATGTGGTGTCCCCTGTCAAGAGCAGCAGCAGCTTGCATTCCCAGCTGAAATCACTCACTGCGGTGGATTTCCTCCCAAATCCGTGCTTTCAGGCTCTGAAAGCATCCCTGGAGTTTCAGCCTTTCAGCTGGAAGCAACTGTGGCAGCTCTCATCCCAGCAGTGGGAGCTCACTGAAGTGCCTTAAAATCCATTTCTGAAAGGGGGGATTCGTGGAGAAAGCATTCTTCTCTTTCTAAATAAAGCCAGGCCCAGCTGGGGATGGCAGGAGCCCAAGGTAGGATGTTACAAGATATTTTAGAAGCAGATGCCAGAGGAGGTGAAGCTCACAGGCTGAGCAGATGCCGGGAAGCAGCAAACCCTGCATGCTGCAGGCTCTTTCCGATCCAAATCCCTGCTTTTTCCAAGGAAAACAAGTCATGATGGGTAAATGCTTCTCACAGCAAGTTTCTGCTTCCTGTGAAAAACTTTATATCCCCATAAAAATACCAAAAGACAGATTTCAGCTTTTTCTCCAGATCACTGATTACTTAAAGAGGAAGTCGTGTTTTCTGGGGCAGCCTTCAGCAAACGAAAAAAGGAAGAGCTGGCTTTCATCTCCGCACCCATTGCTCAGCAGAGTTGCTGCGCTGCTGCTCCTCAAGCCCATCCCAGCTGCTTCCTGGTCTACTTTGACCCAGGGATGCAGCCTGGCCAGGAGTGAAGGTTGGGTGCAGGTCCTCAGCTCTCTGTGGGGTGTGCGTGGACCCCGCAAGAGCACTGGCCACAGGGTGGCCAAAACACCAGCACGGAGCTGGATGGGCACAGGGAGACCCTTGGGAGCTAGAACTGACTGTGCTGTGAGCACAACACGAGCAGTATGATCCTTTCCCCCTGCGCTCCCCCCACCTCTGGGGCTTCTCCTCCCAAACCTGCTCATTATTTTTTCAGCACCAGGCCCAGAAATAACAGAGCGAGTGAATAATCCATGAGGTTTTGGCTGAATGGTATAAGCACTGGGAGGGGGGTGGTGAAATGAGCAGGAAAACACGGAACTTGACCCAAAACTCCTCCTGGAGGAAGGTGCAAAATTCTCTCCAATGAATCCTCCTGTGCTGGGGCTCATCCCCACAGCCCCTTCTAAGTGCAAGCCCCCACAACAGGGGACAGAGTATTGAAATCTATACGGAGCTGTAACCTCCTCTGGCAACCCCCCCAGCAAAGGAGCAGAGCCGGGTCTGGCCACAGCATTTTATTATTCTATTTTCAAGAGAAAGTGAAGCCAGCGGGGGCTGAGCTGACAATGGAACCGCTGTGTGGTGCCCAGCACCTGGCTGGGGTAATGGGGCAGGACCACCTCCATCCCTTCCCAGAGAGCCAGGAGGTGAGAGCTGGGCAGGGTATGGGGGTCAGGAGGGGCGGGCTGGGGGACGACGACAGGGGCTGAGTTCAGGGGCTACAAAGCATGGCCCAGCCTGCAGTGCAGCAGGAGAAGGGGCCGATGCCCTGGAGCTGCAGGTGGCTTCTGTGACATCCTTGCTGCCCAGCTATACTTCAGGAGCTGCCAGCTGTGAAAGAGAAGCGCTCAGAGATGGCTGTTGCACAAAGAGCTGGGGGCTCAGAGCGGCCCTCCTGGAGCCCCCTCACCTCCGAGTAGCTGGGCGGCTGTGGCAGCTCTGCTTGCACCACAGCCAGGTCCACTCTGGTGGTGCTGGGCACGATCAGCATGGCCTGGAGGGGGAAAATAGCATCCCATGCTTATCCCCAGCCAGGGGAACGAGGACCCTGTGCTCTGCCTGCTGCTCCCCTGTTACCTCATTGGGGCTGAGTCGTGTTGCTCGGCACCAGAAGTTGGCAGTGGCAACAGCAATGCAGAACTCCAGGATGGTGAAGATGAGCAGCACGATGGAGATGCCATTCCCTGCGAGCTCCAAAGTGGGGAAGGTTCCATCAGCAGTGCCCAGTTCTTGACATCCCCCGTGCACTGAGACCTTTTCCCATCTCCCACCAGCCCTGGGTCTTGCTCTGTGTCTTTTTTTTGTGCCTCTCTGCTTTCCCAAAGCTCAGGCAGAACCAGGCACATGCAGGGCATGAGTCATCTCCCACAGCACCAGCCCAGTGTAGGTCAGGCAGTGGCACTGTGCCCAAGGGATGGTGGGAGCCCCGATAGAGCCAAGATCCCACTGGGTCTAGAGAAGTGCTCCAGAGTGCAGAGGATCCCACAGGGCTCCCCCACCTACCAGGACAAGGTAGCTGTAGTAGTCATCGCTGGAGCGGTACAGCCCGTTGAAGTTGAGGTCAATGATGAAGGCGACGATGCCCAGGAGCGCAAAGATGGCGCTGATGATGTTCATGGCTTGGCTGCCCTTCACCTGCAGGCATGGAGAGGCTTTTCCTGGCCTTTTTTACCCCACAGCTGTGGGTAACATCTCAGGGCCATCCCCAGCACCACCCCTGATGTGGGATCCCAGCACTCCCTCTGCGCTGCTGCTGACGCAGCGGAATTAACAGCTTTGCTAATTCCCCTTTTCCCATTGCTCATTGACAGAAATAACCTCAGTACAAGCTTCAAACGGGGACACAGCTTTGCCCCAGCGGGTTCCACCTGTGCACGTGCTGCTCCCCACATCCCACTTCAGATCTGGGGGCCAGGAAGGGGGCGGGGGGCAGACAGACACTCACCGCACACTCCGTGGGACTCTTCTCTGCCCCAATGGACAGGCAGCCTGAGATGATGAACTGCAGCGGGAGAGGGGAGGGGGGCACTCAGTCCCGTGTCCCCAGACCCATAGAGCACCCCCCCAGCTTCCCCATCTCCAGAGGAAGTGGGGGGGCCGGCAGGCAGCCCCCAGCTCCCATGCTACGCACAGACACACCGCCCAGGAAGGGGATCTCGCCGGTGATGAAGATGGAGGAGTAGACATTGGTGAGTGTGGTCAGGACGATACCGAAGCCAATGTGCATGAAGCCAGTCATGATCTGGATAGTCTGAGGGGACGGCGAGTCAGGGATGGGCCCCCTGGGGCAGCCCCTGAGCTTTAGGAGCCAAACCCCCAGGGTTCCAACCCTGCAGTTTAGGAAGGGGTTCCCACATCGATGGCATGTGCATGCATGGGGGATGCATCCCTGCTGTGTGCTACGCTGGGGGAGGCACACAGCCTCTATGCTCCTCATCCCTCCACCTCCAAGCCAAGGGTTAATCCTTCAGTGCCCCCAGCCCCCCCATGCCTAGGATTAACCCCTCTGTTCCCCAGCTCCAGTGGGAGCTTCCCTCACCACAGAGCATGGGGAGGGAGAGGGAGGAAGGTCCCTGTGCCCCCCACCAACACAAAGGTCTGAGGGCACCCACGGGGATGGGGAACCTCTCAGGGATGGAGAATCTCTCAGGGATGCTAAGGGTGGGGGCATTTTGGAGAGGTCGGCAGGGGTACGAGGAGTTGTAATGGCAGTGTAGGGGTGTCATAGGGATGGGAACCC